CTTGAATCCTATTTTAAACAGGTACTGTCCATCCAAACTGACATCGAAATGTTGGATTCTGACGACGGAGGACGCGCTGACCTTGAGGATTTATACGTCACTACAAAACTAACGATCCAAGCACAGCTAGTGGAGGATCACAACATTTCGCTTGCGGAAACGAGCTGCGTTGTTCAACATACCAAAAAGCTACCACAACTGAAGTTGCCAACGTTTAATGGCAAGTATTCGGAGTACCAGAATTTTATTACATCATTTAAGCAAATAATTTACAAAGAATATAGTCTCTCTAATATCGAAAAATTCAATCATTTGCGAAATTCACTTCAAGGTCAGGCTTTAGAAACAGTAGATGCATTTCAGGTGACCAACGAAAATTACCCCAAGGCATTGGAAAGGCTGAAGGCAAGGTACGACAACAAAACTTTAATTTTTTTGGAAAATATTTCTTCCCTGTTTGAATTGCCAGCAGTCTCGAAACCAAATGCCTTGCAATTGAGAAATCTTATCGACAAGGCTTCGGCAATTTACGGGTCACTTCTGTCTTTGGGTAGTGATAGGCAAATCTCGCAAGCCATGCTAATTTATATAGTTTTGCAGAAATCAGATGAACAAACAAACAGGAAGTGGAAGGAGTCATTGGATTTTAAGACGCTGCCGACGTGGGATGACTGTGTGAAGGTGTTGGAGAGGAATTGCCAATATTTGGAATCGATGGACAATGCATCCGGTTTTCAGGGAACGAGCAAAGCCACCCCAAATAAGGNTTGGGTAGTGATAGGCATATAGTTTTGCAGAAATCAGATGAACAAACAAACAGGAAGTGGAAGGAGTCATTGGATTTTAAGACGCTGCCGACGTGGGATGACTGTGTGAAGGTGTTGGAGAGGAATTGCCAATATTTGGAATCGATGGACAATGCATCCGGTTTTCAGGGAACGAGCAAAGCCACCCCAAATAAGGCAAGAAATCAGGCCAAAGCTTACTCATTTTCTTGCTCCAGTACGCCGTGCTCTGTTNAACGAGCAAAGCCACCCCAAATAAGGCAAGAAATCAGGCCAAAGCTTACTCATTTTCTAGCTCCAGTACGCCGTGCTCTGTTAGAGCCCAGGTCACAAAGTTGCTAGCTGCGATCGGTTCAAAACCT